CAAGTGATCCGAAGGCATTCTTGGTCACTATTGACGATAAGGATGTAACTCTTCCGAATGGTGATCATTTCAAGTCCGGTGTTGAGGTCCGGAATCACTTCCCTGAGATGGAGTACTTCTCCGCTGATCTCTTCATTCCTTGTGGTGGTCGCCCTGGTACTATTAACATTGGTAATGTTGATAAGACCATGTTCAATCCTGAGACTAAGGAGCTCAAGTTCAAGTATGTTGTAGAGGGTGCCAACTTATTCTTGACTGATGATGCTCGTCGATATCTTGAGGATGCTGGTGTGCAGCTATTCAAGGATGCTTCCACCAACAAGGGTGGTGTTACTTCCAGCAGTATGGAAGTGTTCGCCGCTCTTTGCATGGACACGGCTGATCATGACAAGTTCCTGTGTTCTCGTGATGAGACCAGTGCTCCTCCTGAGTTCTACGAACAATACGTTCAGGAGATTCTTGCCGCTGTCCGTCATAACGCCAAGATGGAGTTCAATGGCATCTGGAAGACTAACCATGAGGTGAAGTATCCTGATGGATCGAGGTATATTCGTAAGACTGATGCAACCATCTTATTGTCGAAGAAGATCAACGACATGCAGTCTTATATCCTTGGCGTCCTCGAGGAACATGATCCTGAGAATGATTGGATGGTTCGTGCTGTTCTCAGACGTTGTGTGCCCAGGTTGCTTCTTGTTCATTGTGGTTTGGATAAGATTGTCGAGAACACTCCCGAGGCTTATCTCAATGCTATGGTTGCCACTTGGATTGCTGACGAGTTCGTCTACTCTAATGGTCTACAGACTAGCGAGTTCGCCTTCTTCCAGTTCATGCGCTCGCTCGAGGAAAAGTCCGAAGGTGAAGTTACCCCTTCCACTATGTAATTTACTAACTTTCTATACACTAGCTATATAAGGCACCGTACATCGGTATCTGCCGAATGTTTTTCTTAACGCTACAAAGAGTTTTTCCTCCCGCATGTCTTAACGGGTATACTATCAACTAAAGCTCGCTTGTATAGTG